TTATAAGTCTTGTTTATATATTAAACAAAATCAAAGTAAATTATATTTTACCTTGTGCAATGTTAGACCACTGACGCACACGCCTCTTGCTGGATCTTCTCTTACAGCAAGTGGAGGTCCAGGCAGCAAAAGATCTCTGATCGTCTCATTATAAACCTGCATTGAATGGCAAATTGTTCAGGTTATTGTCATTGTCACAGTAGCCTCCTTTGCAGACGTTATTAGTATCGGTCATAAATTCCCTCTCAATTTATGACCGATACTAATAACGTCTGCAAAGGAGGCTACTGTCACATAGGAAACTGTTCATTTTTTATTGGGGGGGGGGGGGGGGTGCACCCAAACAAAGACCATGTTAGAGGGGGCCATATTTTTTTAAGAAGAGAGTAGGGGTTATGTCAATAAGGCATAGTCAGGAGGGTGGGTGATTTCAAGAAATTGTATCCATGGCAACTAGGGTGCCTTTTTTAAGAAAGTTTCAAAGACCACCTTAAAGAATCATAACCACCCGTCGTACCTTGCGCGCTCGTATTATTGTTTACATACGTTTAAATGCGTCAATAAATTATAGATTGATAGTACCTGTAAGGTACTTAGTTAAAGGTATTTCTGTCCAAACTGAAAGGACGGAAGACGATTTGCACTCACTTTAAGAAATCCTACAAATCCACCATTTTYGTGTCCACCTAAAATGGCGCTTCAGTTCGCAAGGTACGGCGGATGGTTATGATTCTTTAAGTTGTGGTTTGATTTGTGTACATGGGAAGAGATGCTGAGTTGTGAGGGTAATGAAAAACCAGGCAATGTAAACAGAGAACAATCACTACAGCTCCTATGTTTTGCTGTTATGCAGAAACTGTTCTAGTTTAACCTGGCCCTTACATTGACCATACTATATTATAGTCCAGAGAAGAATGGAAGAAAAGAAATCAGCAGGTTTAGCACTACAATCCTGGACATTTTACTTGGGGCATTGCAACACATAACTACAAGTCACATGTCATTTTGAAAATACAACAAAATTCAAGCCCCCCACTTCCACCCCCCAGCAATATTGTGTCCATTTTGCATTCTGTTAATTCTCGAGTGTTATGAGATAACATACAACAACATTGTAGGTGGGGGGAGGGGAGGTGGAGGATAAGTTCCACATCTTGATAAAGCACCATTTTGTTGATGATGTCCCAAGCCATTTTGTCCATGATTGTAGCAACACAAATGCAATCATAAGAGAAAGCCCTGATGTCCTTGAGTAAGAACAAGATGCCGGCACCAAAATAATCATACTTAAACTCTTATGACTGTGTGTCGCTATGAAAATTGACTTGGTTCTCTTATTATTCGATTTCAACAACATACCTCGAGATACGAAACTGCTACATCGCATGTCTTCTCGTTCTTCAGCTCCTCTATGCGACTATACAAATCCATCATTGTCAGAAAACAGACGCCTGGGTTAGACGGACTGCCTAGCATTGTATGYGTTTTCCCTGCTCCTGTCGCACCGTATGCAAATACAGTGCAATTATAACCATCTAAGACTCCATCGACAATGTTTT